AAGCCCCGCTTACACACCTCCTGTGACGGGGAGCTCGCTGACTGCCCTGTGGACCCCTCTGAATGGAGACCCCGTCCTTGTACAGAGCCCAAGTCTCACCTCCCTGCGCTCGTCACCCATGGGTCAGCCCCAGGCCGCAGGCACTGGGTCCGACCCGTCCTCCTCCTCCGACAGCCAGACCTGTACTGGGACACGGTGGCCACGCCCCTGCTGCAGGTTTGTCCTCCGTCAGCAAAACGGTCCTGTTTTTAATTTTGAGAAATACTCCCAAAACACCTTCTAAAAATACTGAACCGTTTACACCGCAGCATCCTCAACGGCACCATGCATTATCCCAACTTTTGCCAACTGAGAACTTTGGCTAGGGTGATATTAACTTGCATTACGCAGATCGTGAATAACGGCCAATACTTACATAAAACGCGCTCTGCCAACTATTGATCTTTGTGCTTTATAACCCACGATACATTTATCCTCTGATGACAAAGTATGAAGTAGGTGCCAAGTGGGTTAACTCAATCAAACACATGGGAAAGTGAGGTCAGAGGTTTAGGCCATCTGCCCAAAGTCACACGCGAATAGATAAGAATAGATAAGCCCTTCAGGGGCTGAGGGCGGCGCTCCTGACCTGCGGGATTCAAACCCAGGCGACTCTCTCCCGACCGGATCCCCAAAGGCTCTCTGGCAAACACTGGGTTTTTGTACTTCTTGATCACTGCATCTTCTACGAATTGATGGCCCATCTGTATCTTTCTTCCGTCATTCGATGGGGCTATAAGTATTTTTCTTAATTAGGAAGGCTTTGACTGTCACGAATAGCGTTGTTGGAAATGTTGCGGATCTCTGCCCTGGTGTGTCCTGGTTGTCGCTTTCGGTGGGCTATAAATTTAAAAATTCTTATAGAGCCAAGTGTTAATTTTTTTTCATCTATAGCTTCTGAAAATCATGTCATTTTTTGGAACTTCTTTTTTACCTTAAAATATATTTAGCACTTACTACGCTCTCTCCCAACTGCTCTATACCTATACATTGCATTGCCTCTCGCAAAATAGAACTGTTATAAAGAACATAAATGTATACATATCATAATGTAAACACCTATAAATGTTATAAATGTAAAGTGTTCTCCAATTATTTCTTCTAGTACTCTCCTATTTTTTAAACTCTTTAATTTTTGGAAGTTATTTTGTATGTGCTATTTTTACCATATGGATGCCTATATGTTCCAATACCATTTACTTGGAAAACAATCTGAAATACTTCTGCTTTGAAATACCACACTTATGGGAAACTAAGTTCCCAAATCTACGTTATCTGGTTGTGGGGTCCTGTGCTGATCCACTGATTCATAATTCCCTCTGCCAGTACCACTTGTTTTAATTCCTATAGTGTATTCACAGTGTATTAGCTGATAATTTGGGGGAGGAAAGGTGAGCTTGTGTCCCCGAGGTCTGCACCCTACCATGTGCTCTGCATCCGAGGTGTGGTGTGGGGTCCACCACTGGGCATCTGCATGCCGCACCCTCGCCCACCCTGCTAGGCAGCTGAGGGTCCCCAACAGAATCAGACACAAGGACCAACGCGTCCCCACTGGAGTCAAGTCCGGTGTTGGGGTGTCCTTCATTTCTCAGCCTCCTGTGCTAAGGGGCCGGCTCCCCTCCTTGCTGTACCCCAATCCTCCAGTCACTGCAGCTCGAGACTGGGACACCGCCCAGGCCCAGGGAGACCCGCGCCGGGCTGGCCCCGTCAGACCACCCGAGAGACAGGGTGGGCGGCCCCTCTGCCTATGGACAGGCTGTGGGGAGCGGGGCCTCCACATTGGCCCCCACCCGGTGACCCAGCACCCTCCCTGCGGGAGCTGGGGCAGGTGAGCCAGGCGCATCCTCAGGGTCATTTGTGTGGCTTGCAGACAGCGAGGCGGCACGCGGGGACAGACAGGGGGTGTCCCCATCCGTGGGAAGGGCGAGGTGCAGAGCACACAGCACGCTGTGAACACAGAGTGCGCTGTGGGGATACGTACTGGCGTTTGCTGGTATTTCCCAGAGAAACAGGCGAATGGGAACGTAACAGACACGGCTGCCTGCAGGGGCGACAAGGTGGGCGGGTGGGCGCCACCCCTGGGGGCCTTTCCTGTCACTCCGGTTACAGATCCATGCAGACATACTGCCTCGTCAAAAACAGCACTTTAAGTGAAATGAGGACGGAAGCCGTATCACAGTCGTGCCACACAAAAATCCGGAATGGCGCAGGGCACCGATGTGTAACAGCTGGCGTCATTTTCTTTTTTAAAAAACCACTTACGTGCAGACTGTCACAGACGTCACACGGGCTCCGGTGGGGACATCCGTGCGCCCACCGTCCGCAGCCGCGCGTCCCCACCAGCACCTCCGCAGGCTGCACACGGCACCCGGGACGGCCTCCCCGGGGCCCCCCTGCCGCATGCACGGCCTCAGGGCTCCCCGGCTGCTCCCCGAGGCAGGGCCGGCGCGGCTCCAAGCTTCCGTGTCCCGAGTCGACCCTTGTGTGTTGTGCTGCCCGGTCACCTTCACGCCTGCGGCCAGTGACACAGACCCACCTCCTCGGCCAGCAGAGGCTCCCAGGGGAGAGGCCACCTGCATCTCAACACCCGGTCATGGACCCGAGACACGGCCCATGTGTGGCCACGCGGAAGCAGAAAGCCCGCCCAGCGTCTGAGGCCGCCGCGCCCTGTGCACCCTGGGGTGGCGGCCGCCCAGCTCCCAGGGCACATCCTGCCCACAGGGCCTGGTCCCTGCACAGCCACGCGACACACCTGTGTCAGATTCCAAGTGGGGAGAGGCCGGGTCATCTACCTCCAAACCAGGACGCTGCTGGGGAGGGGAAGGGACGCCGGGGCAAAGGCAGCGCCCGGCCGCCCCCGGCAGATCTGGGAGCCCCAACCCTGGGTGCCCGCCCCGCTGGGTGCCCACCCTCCCAAGGGGCGAGGAACCGGGCGGGACAGTCAGCTCGGCCCTCACACCGCGTGCTGGCTGTTCCGCCCAGCGAGACGCCGGCTGGGCCACGTTAGGTCTCACGTCACTGACGGCAGCGTGAAGCAGCTTCCTCTGAGAATGGAGTGGGAAGTTCAAGAGTGCAGAGGCCAAACAGGTGCCGTGAATTCGGCTGACGACCCACAGCTAAACTGGAGCACAGGCCGCTGTGCTCCGGGGAGTCCTGACCACGGCAGTGACAACAAAGGGGCCCCAGAACTGAGGGCCGTGGCTGCCAGGGGACCTTGGAGGAGCAGCATGCATTTTGGTCACACCCACGTACAAAGCCCTGGGCCCCCCCAGGATTTATGGATTCAAAACTTTCTTCTGAACCCCATTTTCTCACCAGTAAAACCAGCTTGTTTGATTTAAAAAATTGATAATCAATTTGGAATTCAACTCTAAATATAAAATCGAAAACTCCTTTTACAGTTTTAAAAGCCTTTACATTTTTCTCTTACTGGATTAAAAAGTCCTTCCCAGGCTCCCTTTATGAAAACACACAGAACAGGCAAGGGGGGGGCCTCCCCCAGCCGCCCTGCGGCAGAGCCGGTACAAATGCTATTAGCAAACACCTTTAGAAAAACACAGCCTTTTATTAACAAAGCACGTCGCCAGATCACGTGAAACCCAGAGCCCAGCGGGGCCCCCCGCCTGCCCCCCACACCTCTGGGCTCGAAGGTGGCCGGGGTGGGCCCCTCGGAGGGACGGGATGGCGAATGGGGGCTCTGCTCTCTCTCTGGGGGTGGGCGGAGGGTTCCAGAGCCAGGAGCCGGTCCCATCCTGTGTGGAATTTCTCCCCCCATGGCGGGCTCGCCTTGAGCACGTGAGCTTGTGTGCGAGGCCTCATTTCGCAGCCGATTCTTACGGAAGCTCGAGCAAGCTAGTCATCCGAAGCCTGTGACCGCTGATGTCCAGCTGTCATCCAAGGGCTCTAACGGTCTGGACTGTCTTTTCCTCCACCCAGTGATGTGTCACTGCTCACGCTGATGGAGACACACCCCGTCATCCAGGGTGCCTTCGAGGAGAAGTCCAGGACAGGTCAGGGGACCTGCCAACATCCCAACGAGAGCTCCAGGCCACAGGTCTTCCTAAACCGTACTCAGTGTCCCTAAATGACATCACCTGTCTTCATAGATGTCAGTCACTATTATTAAATTGCTGTTGCAAAGAAAAATAGGTAGGAAAATCAAAGTAGAAAGCCTGAGCTTTAGTCTTGCATTATTTTTTCCAAAGGCTTGGATATTTCCTTTGAACATAAATTTGTGTCAGCTCAACTTTTAAATTAAAATTTCTGAAGTTGACTCTAGTACTTCCTGAAAACTTATAAACCAAAGTAGAGAAAACATTTAATAATATTTATAATTCCATTTTGTGTATTTTATCAAAATAATAAATAACAACAGGATTTAATTCATCTATAAGGTACAGTAATAATCACATGCAGAAAACTTTCAAAAACTTCATGATCTTAAAATTTCTGATAAATGCTTATCTGTCTTACAACCCTTCAATTTATACAGAAAAGAGATGTGTCCCAATATGAATGAAAAAAATAAATTTTCCTGAACTTTCTTTAAAAAAAACCAAAATGCAAATATTTGAAAATAAAAAAATCTTAACGCTTATAAAATTTTTTCCAGGTGTGAACTGAATTGCACAACCCATACACTTATAGAAAAAATATGTGATTATTTTTAATGATTTATGTGTTTAAAAAAATAAATTTTATGTTACAATTTGAAAGACTACTTCATACAAAATTTTACCCACATACAACGTATGTAATTTTTTGCAATGCAAAAATCCTAGTCACGTATACAAATTCACAAAAGGCAGGCATCTTAACTTGAAGCAAAACAGTCCATTTAGGGATGTGCCTAAGTCATTCGATTCGGTCGAAAAAAGATTTTAAGTATGTGAAAGACCCGTTCACTGACACGCCTCCTCTCCTCCAATAACGTGTCTAGTGTAATGTGATCCAGCAGAATTTTACGGTGAACTATGGAGAGAAAGACACGTTTCTAACTGGTAGATCTTAATAATCTGATCTTGAACTTATTCAGCTTAGAAAATCACAAAGCTACCTTAGTAAAAGATTTATTTTGGAAATTACGCTGGGGAAAATGAAACTGCCGTTTGCGCTAATCCTTAAAGAAACACCGTCCCCTCCCCTGCCCCCCCCAGCAACTCTAATGCTTGAAACTGCACAATAAATACAGTGTCTAGAAATAAACCCCCAGGACCCACCTTGACACCGTAAGCCTGTCTCCAAATGGCAAAGTCCTTTGTGCACAGACTCTGGGACCTAAGTATTTACAGTATTCTATGTGCGTGAAAAACTAAATATGAACCATGTTTTAAAAATCTTTGCTTTAAAAAATAATTTTCCCCCCAAAATGTCAACATCGAAAAATGTTTGTAAAATGGTGCGTCCTCCGGTCTCCCCGTCTCAGTCTCTCGGACGCACCGGGGCCCACACCTGTGCGCAGCGCCTGGGGCCGGCGCTGCGGAAAGCCAGCCCCCTTCCTAGGGAGAACGGGGACCCCTGCAGAGCCACACCGGCGTCCACATGGAGAGGGACGGCCACGCTGAAGACAGGCAGGACGGCCTGTGACAATCCCACGCCCAGACGATGCCACGAGGGCCACAGGAAACCTTTTTAAATTTACGAACTTTGCGGGCTGGAGACTCGAGCAAACGGGAATCCCATGCAGAAGTGTGAGCCGTTACGAAGGGGTGGAAGAAAAGGTCCACCTGCTCCTTCGTCAGGCACAGGCCGACTTCACCCTTTCCAGCGGACACGAACCGAAAACGCAATCCATTGCCGTCTGGGCCCCACTCCACTGTGAAGTGCTATCGAGAAGCACCGTCGCCCTCCACTCTGCGCTTGACTTACGAAGTCCTGTCGCTAGCCCTGAACCCTGAAATCAGCGACCACCGATGGCCCCGGTGTGCGGCCACCCCCTGCCTGCGGGACAATCCCGGCACCGAAGCGGGCACACCGGGCTGGCGCCGAAGCGCACGGCACGGGCTGGCAGGGAAGCGGCTGGCGCAGGCATCTGGAGAGCCACTTACAGCCAGCGGGCGTTCTGGCGGGAGCGGGGTTAAGAAAACACGGTCTTTCTCACACACCGAATGCGCCCACAGTTCTAAAGCCCTGACGACCAGCGGGGCGACAGCGTTAAGCGTTCACTTCCTTAGCAAAGTGAGAGTTCGGGCAACCACGTTCTAGACTCCCTTTTATTGTCAAACTGAGGACGAAGCCTGTGAACTTTCACCTCCTGGCACTTAGGTTGATGCTGTGCACCATCTTCTGAATCTTCTCCTCATTCTTCAGGATGTTGGCCTTCACGGCGCAGATCTTGTCCTGCTGGTCTCGGATCAGCTGCTCCAGCTCCGCCAGCTCTGCCTTCAGGGGCTCCACGGCGCAGTCCGTGATGCTGGCGGAGACAAAACCATGAGCACCTGGTCACACCTCACACGTGCTTCCTCATCAAAACAGTGGACGGCGACGAAAGCAAGTTATTCACCCATGCAGAGAAAGAAGGTAAAAACATACTACGATAATGACAGACAAAACCTCACAGCTGGGGAAAATCTACTTCTGATTTTCCCAACCCCTGCCACAACCCAAAGTGACGTCGAACACGAAATTTATACAAAGAAGGCTAAAACTTCTTAAAGCCCTTAAATTAGAGCTATCGCGAAGGGCCCAGGGGACGGTGGGGAGGGGAGCAGCGAGGCCCATCGGCACTGAGAACCACCACCGGGGTGGCCGACATGTCCCCCGCCTTCCACACTGGGACCCCGACCTCCAGGGGAGGCTCGCCAGCTTAAAGGCATCGCCGCCGAGGACCCTCCAAGTCGCCTGTTCGAGACGTGGCAGGAGGCCTTCCGGCGCTGGGCTAAGTCCTGGGATGGTACTGGAAATACTGGGAAGGCCAAGGTCAGAACGAACCTTTTGCTTTAGACATATTAAGCACAAAAAGACAAAATAAAAAGACCCGCAGTTTCCAGCCATCCTACCATAAAGCAAGATCAGGTTTTGTCCAGAAGAAACATCTGGATCGATACTTTTTAACATCTTAAATCGAAACCCAAGAGAGAAGGGCTAACCAAGGGCAGGTGTCCCCTGCTTTTAGAAAGTCTGCTTCATGCAACTTCGCTTTTCCCAAAGCCCCACGTCGGTATCTGTTTTTGCTAATCGAGAGAAATCCGAGGGGATTTTCGCTTTTACAAAAAAAGGCAAAAAGCAAAAACAGCGGTCAGCGTCCGTTCTGCAGTCGCCGTTGTCGGTGGCGACACCGGGTGGGGCAGGTGGCCCACGGGCTCCGTCCCAGGGACACTGATTCCTTATCGTGTGGTAGCGGCGGCCGCCAGGCTCTGGCCTGTCCCGAGCCTCCAGCTTTCACCCGACACGCTCCGTGCACGACACGCCTGGGGTTTGAGACAGGCCTGAGCACACACGGGGCGCCGCGCTGGGCGCAGAGCCGGACGTAACCCGGCGTTTCGATCGTGGTGACGATCTCAGGACACCGCGTGCTCTGAGCCTGCCTGATCCGCCACTCGTGCTGCTTCCCTGGAGAGAAAGGGCCCTGCCAGCCGCTGAGGTCACTGCAGTCCTGCGAGCAGCGAGGGGGCAACCGCGCTGGAACCCAGCGACGGACGGCACCAGCGTCCACTGCCTGCACCGAGCGTGCGCGTGCGAAGCGCGGCGGGTATTCACCGCGGTCCTGCTGACCATGGTGGCGCGGTTTTGGGTTTTCTGTGTTACTTGTATGATTTGGTGGGTTATTTTGGGGGCCTGGGAATGCCCCCAAATCTTTCCACATAAATTGATAATAACTGCTTCTTCGCTCTACGCCATTCCGGCTGATGACAGGCTTCAGAGGGAAGCGCCGCTCCCGGAGGGCAGGGTGTCGAGGGCTCGGTGACCGTCCAGCGGCGACGTGCGGCACATGAGGGGCTTTTTAAGACTACGCGGACTAGCAGGAAAGGGTGAACTTCATCACGACACAGCGTCTTACTATACAGGCTTCTACACACCACCAAGTCACAGGAAGCATTTCCTAAAAAAATCCCCTTAACGGCTGCAAAAATTATATGGACCCGGAGTCACTGATTATAGGGACAGACTATCAAACATTTCCCTAAAATAAATCTCCTTTTTAGTGACTGTTATATTTGTGGTACAGGAGGAATTCCTAAATAGGTTCACCAGCATTTCTTTTAAAGGAAAAAACTGAAATACTTTCAAAACTATAAAAGTTATAAAACTTTGGGGCTTTTGATAAAACGCATGAAAAACGTGGTCTCCCGACTGTGAAGTCCCCCGTACCTTTAGCGTCTGAACCTGTTTTGTGCCTGAGCGTGACCTCCCAGCCCATTCTACCAGCGACAAAGGAACACAGGCCGCGGCACGAGCGCAGCAGACCCCGCCGGCTTCCTGGGGGCGGCGGGGGGACGCGGCCGCACTGACCTCTGCTCCGTCTGCAGGGCGTCGGCGTGCTGCTGGCTCTCGCTCTGCCACAGCTGCAGCTCGTGCTGCATGGCGTCCACGTCCTCCTGCAGGTAGTCCATGACCTTGCCCAGGGGAAGCGCGCTCTTGCACAGGGTCTGGATGGACGTGCGGAGCTTCTCTATCTCCTTGGCCACGATGTCTGTCTCCTTCTTCCACGTGGACTCGAAGACGAGCGACCTCTCCTGCGGAGAGACCGACCCCCTCACTCCAAGGCAGGACGGCCTGGGAGTGGGGACAGCGCTGCTCCAGACCCGCCGGGCTCCGTGACGCCGCTGTGCGCCCGCGCACGCGGGCCGGCAGCCGCCGGCGAGGGCCCATTCCTTCCCCTCTCAAAGGGTGGCAGGCTCTTTACCTGCAGGGCTGTTCCAGGGCCGGAAACTTACTGTAGCCATGGTTACAAAAGCCTGGGGACACTAACGACTGTCCCAGGCCGCCCCTGCAGCCCACTGCTCGGCGCACGGCCCTCCACCGCGGTGGCTCTGCGAACCAGCTTGCGGCTGGAAAGGGGAAACGGGCCGCGAGAGGGGAGCAAAGGCGTGGAGCGGGCGGCTGTGGCCACAGTGCCGAGCGGGCAGGGTGGCGGTCGGCTTGAGAGGGCCGGACTGAGCCGGCTGGTCTGGAGGACACAGAGGCCGGGCCCTCGCGGGGCATCGGGATGCGCGGTGGGCGTGGGGTGGGGGAGGGGCGGGCTCACGCAGCGGCAGGTGCAGGCGGGGAGGGCCCGGGGGCGACTCCGGAACTTGGTTTGGTTTTGGCCGAGTTCTCTGATAAGCGACATTTAGAATTCTCTTCATCTGAGTGTCGTCTATCACAGACATCTCTGAATTTCAAAAACTGACTTTTTGATGATGAGCATCGATAAGTTAGGCTTGGGAAACTTTTCCTAGGAAAACGAACACTGTCTGTTCGGGAACCCTCCCTGTCTCTCCACTCCACTCAGCCTGGCTGTGGTGTCCTGGCCTGACGTTAAAAGCATTAGGTTACAATTAACTAATTTCCTGTCTCCCGTTTGAACTTGTTGTAACGAGTCACATAGCGCTTGTTACATCTGATGCGGTTTCAGACTGCAGGCTCCAGGAGGGCAGGAACCTGCATAAAGCATTAGGTTACAATTAACTAATTTCCTGTCTGCCGTTTGAACTTGTTGTAACGAGTCACATAGCACTTGTTACATCTGATCCAGGAGGGCAGGAACCTGCGTCTAGATCCGCCGTGGTCCACACAGGCGCCCCTTAAATATCTGTCAAATGGACAAATGAAGTGAACAGTTTACCTGTCCATATCCTAGCTCTGCCACCTGCTGACCTTTGGCAAGCGTACGGAAAGCCTTAACCCAAATGCCTGACACACTGGAAACATTAAATAGAAATAAAAAGTAAAACTCGTCAACTAATGAGTCCAGCAAGGCTGCAGGGTATAAAACACACGTATGAAAGTCAACTGCATTTCCACGTACTGGCAATGAACACACGGCCACTGAGATTAAAACGACGACACCATCCAGCTGCTCAAAATAAGAGAGGCACTAGGTGCAAATCCACCAAAATGTGTACAGAACCTACACGCTGAAATTATACAACGCAGACGAAAGAAACCAAAGATCAGAATAGATGGAGACCCGCACCGAGTTCATCGACTGTAAGACGCAACATAGGAAAAATGTCAATTCCCCCCAAATCGATATCTGGGTTTAACACGATTCTTTCCAAATCCCGAATCTTTTGTAGACATAGACAAGGTTCTCTTAAGATTTATGTGAGAAGCAAAGGAACTACAACAGCTAGAACATTTAGAAACAGAAGAACAAAGAGGGAGAATCCAGTCCCCGATTCCGGGACTTTGGGAACGGCTACGACAGCCCAGAGAGTGGCGTCAGCAGGGCAGACACTCCGACTCCTGGGGCAGAACACAAATCCGGCAGGAAACCCCCCCAAATGTGCCCAACTGATTTTTGACAGAGCCGCAAAAAGCAGTTCGATGGGGAAACACAGCCTTTCAACACGCGGCTCTTGAGCCACTGGGTCCAGAGGGGAAGGTGAACCTTGACCTGAGTCTCATACCTTATACGAAAACGAGCTCAAAATGGATCGTGGACTTGAATATAAAATGTGACAGTATAAGCCTTTTAGAAAATCTTAGGATCTAGGGCCAGGCAAAGAGTTGTCAGAACAGACACAGAAAGCACGATCCATTAAAGGAAAAACTGATCAAGGAGACTCTACGAAAATTAAAAACTTTCGCTGTGCGAGAGATCACCAGAGGACGGAGACGCGGCCGAGCGAGAGAACATACTTTCGAGCCACGTACCTGACAGAGGACTAGTAACGGGAATATGTACATTCTCAAAACTCAACAGCAAAAGCAAACAATTCCATGAGAAAACGGGCTAAATACATAAACAGACATTTCACCAACGAGGACACAAAGACGGGAGACAAGCACGTGAAAAGATACTCAAGATTATGACCTACCGGGAAATGCGAATTAAAGCCACAACCACGTGTCACTCCTGTAAGCACCTGTAAGAACGGCTGAAATCCAAGTGACACCACCACATGCTGGTGGGGGCGCAGAGAAAGTGGCCCCATCGCCCAGGGCTGGTGGGGACGTCAAACGGTGTCGCTGCTCTGGAAAAGCCCGGCAGTTTCTTTAAAGACTACACACGCACCTCGCACAGGGCCCGGCAGTGGCTCCTGGAGAGACGAAGACGTGCGCTCACACGCAGACTCGCGCCGTGTTCGGGGAGGCCCGTGCAAAGCACCCCAGAGGGGACGCGACGGCCGCCTTCGACAGCGGGGGCCGAGGGCGCTGCGGCCCACCCGCACCACAGCATGGACGGGCACAGGTGCGGAGTCACGGCCGCCCCGATGCGCCTCCCAGAGCTACACGGAGCGAGAGAAGCCGCTGGCCCAGGAGTCGCGCTGCATGAGCCCGCTCGCCCGGCATTCCCGAAAGGACAATCAGGACGACGGCCACTGGAGCGTGGTCGCCCGGGGCCGAGGAGGCGGGTGGCAGGCGGGCTGGGGGCGGTTACACAAAGGTCAGCAGGAGGGGTCCCCGTGGTGACGCGAACGTTCCGGATCTCGACTGTGTCAAGGCCAGCGACCTGGGCGTGCTACGGCACTGCGGTGGCGCGAGGTGTCACCCGCGGGGAAGCTGAGGGAACAGTGACAGCTCCGGCCTTTCCGACGGCTGCACGGGAATCTACGGTGATCTCAAAATACGTTTACGTGAAGGAGAAAGGTAGTGGCCATATAAAGGCCTTTAACGTGCTACCTGCCTAAAACGCATTTGATACGATAAACTGCTTCCCAAGAAAAAGCAGCGTCTTTATCGCGGACAGATTAGTGGCTCTCTCGCTGACTCAGTCGAGAAACGTTAAACTGTACCGAAACCACTCGCAGTGATTACTGCGAATTCCCATGTATTCGGCACACGTTGACTCTGACACGAGCTGCTCAGGGCCTAGAACTCGGAACGGGCGACCGACACGCACAGATGTGTCGTGAGGTGGCTGAGCCACCACGAGGACGAAGGCGTGCTGGTCAGCCCGCCCCCTCCTGTTCAGGTGGTCTCGTCAAAGTCCTTCCTATTTCTGGGCCACAGAATCTGGCAGAATCTAGGACACCAGTCTTGAGGTTCACGGCTTTGTGTTTAGAGGTTAAGGATCTAGTAAGACACACGTGAGCTCGGGTTCTGATAGTCAGGAGACGCCATTAATATGGCTGCGAACGCGCTGCTGCAAAACATCGAAATTCTGGGATTTTTCGAACTTTCATTTAAACGAACGTGGCAGGGTGGGGGTGGCGAGCCGCGTCGTGATTATGTGCGTAAAGAAGCACACCTCCCCGACGACAGCTCCGATTTATATGCAGCTCACACAGCTATGCCAGCAACCTTCCGGACAAACACAGCCATTATAAACCTGTTTTACGACTTTTAATATGTACAGAAAAATTTGAGAATCTACTACCATGCTCACCACAGAGAAATTTGTCCTGTGAAAATATGCTTCATTTCTGAAAACGAAAAAGCAAAAAATGATGACGCTGCACAATCCCAGGAAACTGCCTCGAACGAGGGGCCCGGAGGAAGCATGGGAACGTGGCGTGCGGTCACGTGTGCACGGCGGTCACGCGGCCAGCGCCCAGACGGCTTCGCCACCTCCTCATCGCACGTCCTGGGAGCCGCCTTCGCCTCGCTGTAGCTCGGCTTCCTCACGATCAAACGGAAATAGCGGTCTTTACCCCGCAAGGAGGACGAATGGGATCACATAAGACGAGCGGCTCGCTGCCCCGCACACAGCAAACCCTCGACAAACGCCAAGCGGCCTCGTGAATTCGTCCGCTGCGCAGGAGCGGGCACGCTTTCGGCAGCGCACGGAGGAGCGCTGTCACCTCCGGCCACCTGTCAGCTACCAGAGGCTCAGCCCGCATGTCCTGGGTACTTCGGGACACACGGAGAAACGTGCTTAGCTGTCAGCACCAACGAGGCGTTAGGTCCCGCGTCAGGAAGACAAGTTCTGTCGTGAGAACGTCATCCACTCTCTCACCGGCATGTTCCCCTCCCGCCTCCACAGCCCGGAGTCAGACCTCGAAACGTCACGGGGAGACGCGATTCTGACCCCAGAGATCTGCTGAGCCACGGGCCACCACGGCACCCGGCTGTGGCACCCCTGCCACAGATCAGTCCCTACAGGTGACAGAGGGTGGCAGCCGTGTGTTTCGTGAGGACCTGAGTCCGCAGGCTGCGACCTGTGTCTCCGCCGGTCCCCGGCAGGTGGGCTTCAGCACGTGGTGGCCACTTCAGGCACGCGCTTTAGAAAAGGTGACTTTCCAAGACTTTTAGGTAAACGGGTACTTCGGGACTTAATGCTATTTGCATTTACCACACACACACCTGTCCCTGGAAATGTCACTGCTTATGTTTAGAGTGATTTTTTAAATTTACAAGTATTTAAGTTATACAAATAAATACGACTGACCTGAAGATGTGTTTTTCTGAGTTTCAGCTTCGATGCTTCAAGAGAGAAAAGTACTATTTCTAAAATAATACCTTAAAGCCGGATCCTTAGATCCTGCCAGCGTCTCTCAGAAGCAGGACGTGGGGCGCGTCAGGAGGGCTGATGGCATCTGCCCAGTGCCCTCCACCCTGCTGCTGGGTCTGGGGTCCTGACACTCAG